TCAATCTCTTCTAATCTAATACTATCACATTTCAGAAGTCTGATTAAAATATCTTCTTCCATATTTAAGAAATCTTTCGATTCAAAAATAACTCTGGGATTTCTGCATACAAGTTCTAATGCTGTTTCATATAAATTAGTGAAAGCATCATGTTTACATATTGTAATGAAGTCTTCTGGAAATTTCCAAACTAATTCAGTTTCTAGCAAGCGTTTTTTAACTTGTTGACTAATTCCAAATAATTCAATTTCATCGGCTGCAATAAAAACGTCGAGAAGGTTAACTTCATTTTTATCGGAGAACGTTCCTGTATAAATATAGCTATTCATTTATGGAAAATAAATTAACATTTTAGTGTAATGTCATAAAAATCAATTTGAACTTTTTTTTATATATGTGTGAAATGCATTCATTTTATAGGTTTCTCACTTTATAGAATTGGGAAAATTTTTAGTTAGTCGTAATTAAATAAGCTGACAAATTTTGTCAGTTTATTAATTAATAATACATCTAACGAAGTAACTTGAGAACCCCTTAACATCGCTTTGAGATATTTTAGTTTGCAGGCAAATGTGACCTAAAAATATAAACTTACTCTAAAAGAATTTCGAACACAGATGGTGAAATATTTGGTTTGTCAAAAATGATAATTCCATTTTCTTTCCTTGCCCATTGTGATGACAATGCAGTTTTAAAATAAGCCGATCTTGCTGATAAAATAACAGAATGAGCTTTAAATTCTTTAATATTTGGTTCTTCACCAATTTTAATTTTTACATCAAAATTTTCAGAGCTTTCAAGCAAGCTTGAAATATCTTTAAGCAAATTTTGAATATGTTCGTTATTCATATTGTAAGTAAAGTTTATATTTCTATATTTTAACCTGATTATGACTTATATGTAGCTTTTATGTGACCTAAACTTAGTCTATATTTACAATTTTTAATAAGCCTATATAAGCTAGCTTTAGTTACATATAAGTTACATATAAGTTATATATCAGATACTGATATTTTACCGATATTTTTGATTTCAACTAGTGTAACCTTGCATATAAATGTTACGGAAAGTCTTTCACTTCACTCCGGCCAAATGATTACCATACGTACCTGAAACTGTTGTAACAATACTATTACCTTTTTTAAAGGTCGTCTAATTCAGGTAGTTAAATTGATTATCAATTATTTGTAAATTAAAAATCATGCGACGCATATAAATTACTATCTCCTTTTTTATTTCTTTTAGGATTCCTCTGCGCCGTTCCAGATGCAAAATTATTACGAATTATACTGTAGGAATGATATAAATTTCACATAAGTCGTTACGGTTGGTGTGAATATATGTGGCGTTCAGATAACCTATAAAGAAGGTTTAATGAAGTCGGATTGTTTTTATATTAACCATAATTCCTTTTACTTTTATTACAGTGCATATATGTATTCGTGATAGTATTTTGGAATATATATCTTATCCACTTAGTTACTATATTACGGACTTTTGCATAATTGTTTTCAGTTTAAGTTTTATTTCTTTTGTGAAAATAGTCCTTGATCTTTTTGGATTCTTTTTTGAATTGGATCAGCCTTAACAAACTTAATATTCTTTTAAGAAAAGTTACGACACTGGGTTTAAGTTTAAAATGCATTGAATTTATTAATAACTATGAGTAATAACTAGCCAGTAATTTTTTTCACTGTGTTAACGAGCATTTGAGTATAAAATTGGTATAACTTATTAAGTTTGCTCAATACAGAATTGTTTAAGCATTTCGATCATTATATACGCACGCAAAGGATGATTCAAGCATTTTATTCAATTAAACAAAAGCAAAGTTTTAATTAATCAGAAATCGAATAAACTAATATAATAAATTATTCAAAAGCATGTGTCAATATACCTATTACTTTATATTTGCACTTTTAAAGTTCAAGAATAAGACATACTGTAAATGCAAAAAGATAATGCATTGGAACTTATTTATGTTGATTCATTTGTTCTATTGATAATATATAAGATAAAATTGAAATAACAGTCTGCACCATGGTAAGCAACAAGATGATTATAGCAGAAATATTAAAAAATCTTATTAGCACATTTTCACCAGAAATTATGTATAACTGCAAAAGAGAGTTTTCCTTTAATGCCTTCACAGTTGATACGAGGTTTTTGACATGCCTCGTACCTTCAAGAGTTGAATTATAGTGACTTACTTCAGAAATTTTACAAATAATTTCGTGAAATCGAGTGAAAGTTATTGGACCACTATAAACCATGCCAAGCTGATATGCAAGATGGAAATCTTTTTCGTTTTTGAGTACTCCTGTATAAAAGCAAATTATAGTACTGACTATTGGTTCACACCTTGATCTCATCTCAAGCATTACAATATTCCACAAAGTTTCGATCCAATGTGGATGTATGTAAAGTTTCGTGATCATTATTTTATCCTTTTCAAACTTAAATACGAGTTCAGGACTATCTAGAGGGATGAACTTGATAGTAGTATGTCTATGTATTTCTGTTAAACTCGGTAAAATTGCTGGATCAAACCGATAAAAATGACCCTGTTTAATCATGTCATTGCCCCCTATATTTCGATAAAGCAATTGAGCGAATGACATATTTTTATCTAACTGTGCATTGACGAATGTTGGAGGATAAGAACCGAAAGGAATCGAGTAACTTGCTATGGAAGTAATCATTATATTGAATGTATCGGCTACCTTATTGTTATGGATTCTTTTATTATATTCCACTATAAAATCAGTATTATTTAGGAAAGATCCCATATGATTTATTATATGAGACAGTCTAATTTGGTTACCAGCCCTAGAAAATATCCCAGCATTTAATACTGATGTATTGATACCAGCTAATTTATATCGTCTCAAGTCAATCATTCCATAATCAACACAATTAATAATTTCAGTAGAGAATGCAGCATATAACTTTGCTAGTTTGTCTATATCTGACGATAAATAAGAGATTATATGATTTTCAGACATATCTTCTTCCTTGCTCCTATTTATGTTAGTGCCGAACGTGTTAATAATGTGTACTTCAAATATTTTTGACATCTTATTTATAATTCTATCAAGTTCATCAGTATCAGGTTCGTTTTCATCTAATTCTTCGGCTAAATGTTTACAAGTCAGATCTCGTATATCGACTATGTCATATTTGTTTTTCTCAAAAAACGGAAAATGATCAAAACTAAAATCGCCAAAAACTTTTTCTTTAACAGTTACTTCAAATATGTCATGCTCCATTTTGCTAAAGATTTTTATTCTGTCGGTCTGTTTTTTGTGGGGGAGTAAATATATTTTAATGCGCACAGCCCTATCATAACAGATAAGTATTTACTGCACGTGAACAAACATTCAATTCATATGAAAATTTATTTCGTATGACGCTATAGGGCTTGTTATAAAATAAATAGCGAACTATTCTTGCACAGAAACTTATTAAATGCTATGGTAATGTATGCCTAAATTGTTATCTATGCACAGCGATAAACTTACGTGCTAGCTTCTAGCATTTATTAAAATGATATTTAAAGAAGTGATCCATTTTTATTAGTAGGAATTGTTTTTACGTGTGCGTTTTGTCATTTTGAATTCCTTTAGACATGTAGATTCATCTGTTAATGGCTTAGACTACAAGCCTCCATCTAATTTTAGATGTTCGATCGTACAGTTTCACGTGACATCCATTATAATCTTAAGATCTCAAGCATATATACATACATAGCCTAGATGTTATGGTTTTATTTAATCATATTATCTGTGTTTAAAACATTGCCTATTTTCGATCGCATTTCTTTTCGATCGTTTCATATTACTACCTCGAGCATGATGAGTTGAAATCGCCAAATCTAGTGCTCCGAACGCCAACCCGAACCGTAAAATCGTTTTGGGCCAAAAATTCGGATTGCCCGGATTAAACCTAATTTTGGGATTTGAGTCCAGTTTTTTTCACATTGCACTAATACGTTGTGAAACCGGAAACGTGACCTGACGCAGGCACGTGCCCGTGACCTCGGATATTTCCAAATTGGGGTTTACCGTCCAGAAATCAAAGAAAGGCCGTTTCTGACAGAAACGGCAGAAATTATAGAAATGACAGAAATTACAGAAATTACAGAAATGGCAGAAACGGCGATTTTGGGATTATTAGGGATTTTGACAATAAGTCCGTTTCTGTCAATAAGGGCACTTTTGGAGTTATAGATGGCTTTTGTAGATAGAATCATAATTACAAATAAAGGCCTTTTGGCCCTTGGGGAATAATAACACCCGATTAACCAATAAATAAAATACCTAAGTCATAAATATACTTTTTTCTGAAGCTCGGGTACTTTAACTCCTTGGTAAAGAGGTTAAAGTGTACTAAGTAAACTTGATATTTTTGCTCTGCCCTACAACATATTCGCTGAATCCCTCTGAATCCTTCAACTTGTATATTACACTTTACCTGTCGAAGTTATAAGAAATGTAAGAAATTCCAAGTTACTACCTTGCCAGATTTCAGTTGTTGTGCAAAAAAAGAGAAGGTAAAAACGATTAGAATAACGATTAGTATAGGTAACGTGGGCAAAGAATATAAATTTATATATTTTTTGTTTTATATATTATACAAAAGTTTTCAAAATACAATTACACGTGGCTCTTGATATAACGGACCACCGATATAACGGATATAGCTTAATACGGAGAATTATAATGGAACAAATTTATTACTAATAAATTTATTTTGATATATCGGATATTATTAGTAATCTCGCGATATAACCTATAACGGATTTTAGCTTAAAACTACTATATGCCAATATAATAAAAAATAATTTGATAAACCGGATTTTATTATAAAGCATGTATTTAGCAGGTTTATTAATTTTGCATTTACTTTTCTGCAACCTTTATTGGTTATAGCAATAAATTAGATAATTTTTTTAAAGTACTGTAAAAGCCGAATACAAGATCCCCCTAGATATTAGACCCACTATGTACTGTATCCGGGTGCAAATCACAAAATTTTCTTTAATTAAATGTGGTAATTTTTAAAAAACCAGATTGCCTGTTGTAAGTGCAAAATGTATATGCATTTCAAATTTTTATATTATATCGCATAAACTCTCAGCTGTGTACTATACCCGGGTCTATTAAAGGGTTTTAAAATTGGTGAAATGTACAGACCCGGGTCTTGTATCTGGCCATTTACGATAGCTATTCAAAAATTAAACTATGTGAATAGCTAGAAGAATATTTTGGTTTTTTAAAATAATAATTTACTGTATTTATTTTTAAAACCAAAGCCTAGTAATTAATAAATTTAAAGACAAATTTTTATATATGCTACCTAATTAAGCATAACAAGATTCGCATCCATATATGTATAAATACTTTATTTTCATAATATTGTGAGCCTCAGAACCCGACTCACCTACTGCGGCCCAGTACGATCCAAGATCACAGGATCGAGTGCAATTTATCGCATTTATTGCATTTATTGAATTTATTGAATTTATTAAATTTATTGAATTTATCGAATTTATCGAATTTATCGAATTTATCGAATTTATCGAATTTATCGAATTTATCGAATTTATCGATTTTAGGGTATTTGTGGAATTTGTTAGATATATCGCATAAATTAGATTTATGGCATTTATGCCATTTATTGTAATACCAAATCTTTATTATGGTAGTGAAGGCTCTGGGGAAAAATAGGTTTTGTGCTGCTTACAATTATCATTCCCTAATAAATATTACCTCTTGACCCCTAAACCCTGTAAAACCCTAATAAATGCTGATCTAATAAATAACTTAAACCCAGATCGATCACTAAGT